GAGGGTGTCACTGCCTGGAGTCTGTACATCCCAGTGCAAGTGGGGAGTCTGGGATCCAGGGCAGCTACTGGGTGGAGGGAGTGCCCGATCCTGGCTCTGGGAGGCTCCAAGTTGTCCCTGTGGAGATCCAGGTGTTTTTATCAGGTGTGTTTATTCCCATGAGTGGATCTTCATCGTGATCAGCCAGAGCGGGATCGGGATGTATCCATGGAGTGCCGTGTCCTGTCCCCCAGGCTCAGGCCCTGTGTGTAGCTGTGTTTATACACACACAGCACACGTGTGCAATGTAGAGGGACATCCGTGTGTCCTCATGGAGTCTCCGTGTGCTCGGAGCTGTGCTCGGCCCACCACCAGCCCAGATCCCACAGGATGCTCTTCCCTGACCTCTCCCCTTTTCCCTCCTCCTCTTCCTCCCCACCACTGCGTGTGGGGCAGCCCCACCCCATCCCATCTGGGGGTTCTGGAGTGTGGGGGATCCTTGCTCTGGGGTCACTCACTCCAGCTCTGCGGGTACCTGGCATGGATTGGGATGGGAGGGGATCCAGCCTGGCCAAAGCCAAAGCCAGGGATGTGTGGGCCACAAGTGCCACATCCCCACAGTGGCTCCAACCCACGGGCTGCCCTGTCCACCTCCCACGTGTGGTCCCAAGCCAGAACAACCCCTTGGGCATTGCTGGAGCTCTGGGAGGCTCCGGTGGGTTTCTGCCAGGGAGACCTGGGAGAGGGGAACATCCCCCTGTGCTGGGCTCTGGCAGGAAGAGACACTGGGCTGTGGGGGAGCTCCTGGGAAGGGCAAAGGACCCTGTGCATGGCACCAGCCAGGGCACCCTTTAAGGTCCCTTCCAACCCAAACCATTGTGGGATTCCACAATCCCAGCTCCGAAGCAGCCACAGCCACCTGCGCTTCTCCTGGCACAGGATATCCCGGCTCTATCCCACTGCAGAGGGATGAGGGAAGTGACCCCTCATCCATCCACAGCCCTATCTGTGCGTGGCACAGGCTGGCTCATGGATCATAACCCCAAAATCTGCTTCCAGCAGAGGAAGAGGTAAAAACACGAATCCCAAATGCTGGACACAGCACCTGTTTGCCAGGCTTGGCTCCACGGATGCTCAGCTTGGCTTGTGCCCTTCACCTGTCCCACAGATTACCTGGAAAAGCTCCCAAACAACAGCCAGGAGCAGGGCGAGGGAGCTGCAGGAATCGGCAAGGGGCTGCCACGGCTCATCCCACACGGAATTCAGAGTGGAAACACTGTATTGACAGACTTTACAAAAGTTGTTACAAAACACGGTCACGAACCAGCAGCTGACGATACACAGCGAAGAGACACCACGTACAGGCACCTCGGAACAACACCAACAGCTCCAGAAGTCAACCAATATTTACACAAACGGCTGGAAAACTCTGGGCGTTTATCGCATAACATGGAAGTGTTTTAGAGCAACTGTGAAATATAGTGTCACACCTTTCCTTGTAGTATTATCATCATCATAATAATTAATAATAATAATAATAGTTCATAATAATAATAATAATAATAATAATATACTACTTCTAGGTTAACTAAAAACCAAACAGCTCTTTACAGGGGTTAGGAGAAGCTGCTTTCACTCGTCTGACTTACCTGAGTGAGACCAAACCCAGTTAAAAAACAGTAATAAAATCACCTTCAGTGACAGGAGTCCGTGTGTCAGCCCAGCAGCGCCGTCCCCTCGGGCCAGAGGGAAACCACAGCCTGGCTGGTGCCAGAGACACCCTTCCAAAGAAGGGAGGCGTGATCCCACCACGCCTCCAAACGCTGCCCTTCCCGACTCCTCCTGCTCCAATGTCCTCAGCCCCTTCTCCTGCACCTGCTTTCTCTCACCTTGCTCTTTGCCGCGCTCTCCTCTCCGCTCTCCCGCCTTCCACAAACCCCGTGTCGTGCCCTAACCCACCTCTCTGCCTCGCCTCTCCTCCCTTCCTCCCAATCCCGGCCTCGCAGCCTCTCGGGACACGGCGGCACGACGGGGAGCGGGCGACCAGCTGCCTGGGAATGGCACCTTCCTTCCCTCCTCCCTCCTCGCGCTTCCAGCCTTGCAGTGAAACGAGTGGAAAAAAGAAAGCGAAAGCTTGTCACTCCTGAATATGCACAAAGATAGGTGGGGGAACACCTGCTAAATACGGGCCCCGGAGAATCGCTCGGGATTATTCTCTACAGGCAAAATCCAACCCTGCGCGGGGGCCGCCGCCGCGGCGGGAGAGCCACGGGACCCCGCGGGGCCGCAGAGGTGCCTGGGCCGGCCGGTCAGAGTTTGTAAGAGGAATTCCTTGGATGCTTCACCAAAGCTTTTGTAGCATGACCACATGGATTAGCTGCGATACAAGTCACCCGCCATCATGCTGCGCCGTCACGGTCACCGCGAGCCCTCCTGCCCCGGCCCCACCTCGGCTACTGCGTAGTCTCTTTTTTCACGCAGAAATGCTTGGTTTGGGTCCCCGACGACTCCAGGCCCAGCTGCGAATCCTCCGTGGGCCGCGGGTTGCGGGAGTGGATTTTCTGGTGGCAATTCAGGGACTCTTTGTAGCGGAAGTGCTTCCCGCAGACGGGGCACTGGTAGGGGGTCTCCCCGGTGTGCACCCGCCAGTGCTTGAGCAGGTGATCCCGGCGGATGAAGCTCTTCCCGCACTCCGTGCACTGGTAGGGCCTCTCGCCGGTGTGGATGCGCTGGTGGCGGATGGCTTTGGAGAGGTCTCGGAAGTCCTTCCCGCAGTAGGTGCACGTCAGCGGCCCGTCGCCCTTCCCCGTGTGCAGCTTCTGGTGCAGGATAAGACTCACTTCCAGGCTGAAGCTCTCCTTGCACTGGGAGCAGGTGTAAGGCCTCTCCACCATGTTGTTCACCTGGTGCCTGACGAGGCCGTACTTGAAGCCGGAGCCCTTGTCGCCGTCGGGGCGCTTGGACGGTTTGGAGCGGGAGGAGCCCTGGCCCTTGGGCTTGGATTTCTGCCAGAGGCCCTCGCCGCGCTCCAGGGACGTGCAGGCCTCCTCCCTGGCGTGTGCCTTCTGGTGGGTGGCAAAGAGCTGCTTGTCCAGGAAGCTCTCCCCGCACTCGCAGCAGATGTAGGGCCCCTTTTCCGCGGCTCCTTCCTCGGGAGGATCCTTCTTGGCCAAGTCCTTCCTGCGGCGCACGGAGCGCCTCAGCCCGTTGCCCGCTGCCGTTCGCTGCTGCGGGTCCGACCCGCTCTGGCTCTTGCTGCTCGACTGCATCTCCTCCTCTGGGCTGGAAAAAACCTCTTCCCACTTCCCTGCCAACGACTTGGGAAGCTCCAGGCTCTCGGGGCCTTCCTCGTCGCAGGGCTGTTCGTCTGGCAGAGCAGAGCACTCGTCATTTGCGGAGACAAGAACCGGGTCGTTATTTACACCACAATTCCCCCGGGGCACGGGTGGGCTCTGCTGTGCACACCCAGCTCAGTGCCTGGCACTGCTGTCCCGGGACACAGGCAAGGCCAAAGGGATTTGACTTGGAATCACAGAATTGTTAAGGCTGGAAAAGCCCTCGGAGACCATCGAATCCAACTGGTTCCCCAGCAGTGCCAGGGCCACCACTGACCCGTGTCCCCAGGTGCCACATCCACATGGCTTTGAAATCCCTCCAGGGATGGGGACTCCACTCCTGCCCTGGGCAGCCTGTTCCAATGCCTGACAATCCTCTGGGGTGAGAAATTTTCCCAGTATCCAACCTGACCCTTCCTTGGTGCAACTTGAGGCCGTTCCCTCTCTTCCTGTCCCTTGTTCCCTGGGAGCACAGCCTGACCTTCCCCCGGTTCCCCCCTCCTGTCAGGGAGTTGTAGAGAGTGAGAAGGTTCCCCTGAGCCTCCTTTTCTCCAGGCTGAGCCCCCCCCACCAGCTCCCTCAGCCACTCCTGGTGCTCCAGACCCTTCCCTAGCTCCATTTCCTTCCCTGGACATGCTCCAGCACCTTCCTGCCCTCAAATATGTTATAATACGATATATATAATCTAGCTATATATAGCTGGCCAAAGGGAAAAAGTGGGTTCCTCAGCAGGAGGTGTAAAAAGACAGGTCTGGTGGTTTAGGATAAAGGCAAAAAAAATTGTGGAAAGGGGAGTAAAATCTCTTTTCCTCATGGGTTTGGACAGTGCCTGGGGCCGAAGGATCTCCCATGGTATAAACAGTGACTCAAAGTAACTATTAACACTGAAATTCTGAAAAAGCATCATCCAGAACAGCTGAGCTGCTCCTGGGAATGAGAAGCAAAAGCACATCCAGACAAGGGACACTTCCCAAAGCAGGTCAGTGCACTCACATGTACCGGGGACCTCCATGCTCTCCTCTTCCTCAGAGCCCTCGTGGCTCTCAGCCAGAGTCTCCTCATATTTACCCCACGAGCTCTCGTCGGGCCCAGGGAAGAAAAACTCTGCACGAGAGAAAACAACAGGAGTTACACTCCCACCTCCCAACTGCTTCAGAGGATTCCGGCAGAGATGGATGCACCGGGTGGGGGACAACTGGGAAAGTCCCCATGTACCCGGGGACAGAGAGGACAAACCCACCCCACATCTGCTTCCACCTCCCCACCTGGAAGGACTTAAAAGTCACCCACGAATCGGATCTCAACCCCAGAGAGTCCCAGGGATCTCGTGGCTCACCGGTGCTGGGGTCTGTGGGGGTTTCCCCTGCCTCGGACTCCTCCTGCTCCTCGGCGTTGGGATCCTCTCCCTGCTCAATCCGGGACAGCATGTCAGGCTTGGAAATGGCAGCATCTGCACAGAAAGAGAGGGTCAGGATGTTTCCCCCGCCCTCGTGGGAGAGGAACTCAGACCTTCGCCCACTGACCTTCCTTCGCTGGGGAACGGAAAGAGAGAGGCTTAGGAAGGTGCTCCCACCCGTGTGCACCTCTCACCTTGTGTGGGCCCTGGACTGAGCGATGCAGGAGCACACTCTGCTCAGGTGAGGAGCAACTCCCAGCCTGCAGTGTGAGGAGGAGAATAAGAAAATGCATCTGCACTCACCTCCAGGCTTCCTGTCTTCTCCTCCCTAAGATCCATTGCAATGGGGACTTCAGCTCGGGGACAGCACCAGAGCTGTCAGCAGTGCCCTCCCCGTGTGGTTCCCTCCAGCCAGGACCGCTCCTCCCACTCCTCCAAGCCACAGGCTGCCCATGGATTTTGGGAAAGGGGACAATCACCTTCTCTCCTCGAGCAGAGAGCGGAAAACTTCATTTCCAGACACGTGTGAGTCTCTGGGGATTAAATTCCACCCCTGCTCTGGTGGATCTGTTGGCCTTATACCAGAGCCAAACCCCTAGACCTTGTTTCTCAAAGGAAACCTTTGGATAAAGCACAGACACATTTTTCCATGCTCCAGGCTCAGATGCCCAGATCCCCTTCATTGGGACCATTATGTTCCCGTGCCTCAGGAACAGGACACAGGATGGGTTTGTAAACAGGAGAATGGGGGGCGGTGTTTACCCCTCACCTTCTTCCCTGGTGCACAGGGACTGCACAAGATCTCTGTTCAAAGAAATAAAGGAAGGAGGGAGGGGAAAATTCAGGACAAAAGGCCTGGATTGGGCAGAGCTGGATGGAGGGAGGTGGGTGAGCCTGCCCTTGGCACATGGAAGTGCCTGAGTGCCAGGGATGGTGTCTGTGCTCCCACCCACTGTCCAGCCAAGGCAAGGTCATTTCTGAGAACATGTTGTGAAGGCAACATGTTCCCCAGAGGGAATTCCCGCAGCCAGGACTGGCAGGAGCGAGTGGAGTGCATTCCTTCAGCTGGGAATGCTGTGCCCTGAGCTGCTGAGGGGAAAGCAGAAGGCAGAGCTCGGCCTCGCCTGCAGATTCTCCCCAGCTCTGCCCCAGCAGCAGATCGAGCAGGACTCACTCCCTGGGGCCAGACAGAGCGCCCAGGCAGCGCTGGCAAACCTCTTCCTCACGGAAGGGCCACGGAAAGGGCTGGAAGGACCCTCAGAGGCAGGGCACAGGGCACCCCTCTGCTGCCCAAAGGGGCCAGCAGGCTGATGCACCCAGAGCAGTGGATCTGTGGACCTTGGCATGACAAAGGAACTCCCCTATTCCTCAGCTTTGCCTGGACTGAGCGTCCTCTCACTTCCCCACCTCCTCCTCCTCCTCACAACCCAGGTGCTCTCCTGGCCACAGGGGCCACCAGGGACATCTTTCCACCCATCCCGTGAGCTGGTGAGGGCTGAACTCATTGCCAGGGCTGTGCAACACCTTCCCAAACCAGCACAGCATCCCCCTCCCCGCTCCTGCCGGACACGGCGCTGCTCCCATCCCTCCACCAGTTCCCAGGAAAAGCTGGTGCCCCAGAGAGCACCAGGGGGCTCAGGGCAGACCCCAGCCCGTGGTTACCCATGGAGATGACGGCCTCGTAGTTGCCTTTCATGATGTGCCTGTACAGCTCCTTCTGCCACTCGTTCAGGCTCTTCCACTCCTCCTCCGAGAAGCTGAACGAAGCGTCGTTGAAGGCCACGGGGACCTGCAGGGGGAAGCATCAGGGGGGTTTGTTTCTTGTTTAAGGAAACACCTGGCGGTGTTTTCTCACTCGGTTTTCTCCTTCAAGCTCCTCAAGCGTCGCACAGGACAGTCCCAGGCAGGAGCACTCGGTCCTTCCCACGCGCCTCATCCCCCAAGGGACACCACAGGGACTTCCCCTGTCCCCTTCTGTCACCTCCCCCCCTGCTCAGGCTCCTCGTGCCTTCACAGGCTCTTTTTCACCTCATTTTCGACACAATTCGGCTGCTCATCACCCCTGGTGTTCCCAAACCCCCCAGGCACACGGGGCTGAGCCACACAATTCCACATGACCCGAGCACAGCTCCCCCCTGAGGAGTCTGTGACCTCCCCAGCACATTTCAGGAGGATCACACGTACATAATGAGAGTGTAATTAACACAACTCTGTAATTAACACAACGAGAGGTCTGTAATTAACACAGTGGGACCTGTGCTGGTGCTTCTCTCCCAGTGCCGAAGGGAAGGCCCTGCTGTGGGGGAACTGCTGCCCAGCACTGCAGCTGCCCCAAAATGGGACGGGAGAGCAGGGATATGGGGCTGAGAGCACTGGGTATGGGGGCTGGGAGTGCAGGGCATGAGGCTGGGAGAGTAGGATATGGGCCTGGGAGTGAAGGGATATGGGGCTGGGAGTGCAGGGATATGGGGCTGGGAGTGCA